GCTGCTGTACGCTCAGCATTGTGGGCCCAATCCTCTGGTACTCTCTTTCAGGTGATATTCTACTGTATTGAATTTCCAGCATCCAGTGAAAACCTTTTTCATTGCAGCAAGCATTGTAAGTTTTATGATTTAGTTTCTTATTACAGTAGTTTTAACTGATTTTATCGCAACTTTTAAACTCTACTGCACACCACTTGGAGACGATGGTGTTAAAAGGGCATACAAATTGATGGAATACAACGATAGGATTTTAAGGTACCCCCCTAAATCATTCAGTCCAACCTTCTGCAATGCAGGAATCTCAGCTAAATATCACAGCGGTGTCCCGAGTGCACGCCTTCCCCCCCACACGGAGGTAAAGGGTAAAGGGACCCCTGACCATTAGGTCCAGTCGTGGCCGACTCTGGGGTTGCGGCGCTCATCTCGCTTTATTGGCCGAGGGAGCCGGCGTACAGCTTCCGGGTCATGTGGCCAGCATGACTAAGCCGCTTCTGGCGAACCAGAGCAGCGCACAGAAACGCTGTTTACCTTCCCGCCAGAGCGGTACCTATTTATCTACTTGCACTTTGAGGTGCTCTCGAACTGCTAGGTTGGCAGGAGCAGGGACCGAGCAATGGGAGCTCACCCCGTCGCGGGGATTTGAACCGCCGACTTTCTGATCGGCAAGTCCTAGGCTCTGTGGTTTAACCCACAGCGCCACCCACGTCCCTCCACATGGAGTTACTTTTCCCATAAAGACAAGTCCCACACTTGGGGAAACACGTGTTTTAAGAGCAAGGACAAAATTTGCCCTCTAACCATAACACTGGGTGGCTGGAGCCATACTGGCAAGGATGCACAGCTCTGCTTGCATGCCCACACCCGAGTCTCGTATACACCCCAAAACCACTGCCTCTTTGCACCCATCCTAATGGTGGGAATTTTACAAGTAGCTATTTCCTAACGCAGCCTCAGCCGCAGGTGCACTTCCATGAATTGCCTTTTGTGCTCTTGGTTAAACTGCAGCGCAGCCGTTACTCAGGTGCATCCTTTGCTTAGCTGACTGCCAGCTGGAGGCCAGCTTTGTGGCTTAGAGATGTCAGCCAGCGATTGCCTGGAGCAGAAAGCTGAGGGGCTCTTATCTTTCTGCACTCCCTTTCCATTTGGGGTTTAAGCTGCTTCTGACCTCTCTAAAAACAGGCTCTTGCTATATAGCGCGTGCAAACAAGTGAGACCCAAAGTAGGTATCATTAATTGGATTCTCCTTTTTCTGGCTACAGGGAAATTGCTTTCATTTAAAATAATATGAACTGCACAACTGCAATTGTATTCTTGAAAACGCATGTGTGATTGGTGAAGCTTCAAAGTCAGAAAGGCGGGATGGGTATTTCAGTGTCCCTGCCTCTTCCCAGACTAGCAAAAGGACAATGCATTATACAAAATAAGATAATATACAAATTTACTTAGTTTTCATAATTATGCAAACTGCAGAATTCCACATTTACGGGTGCAATCTTTGGATTGCTTGCGTGCAGAAGCATTTTTTTGACTTCTTTCACATTATTGTGATTTTAAATAAAGGACTGGCAGCCTTCAAAGCACACTTTGGTAAAGGACACATTTAATTATAAGTTGCAGAACTAATTCAATGCAATAGCCTCTTGTCCTCAAGATCTATGACCATGCAAACCAGCAGGGTTTAAAACCCCAAAAAGGTGTACACACACAGCTCTTTTAAGTTCGCAAATCCATCAGACTTGGTAAGTATTGCTTCTTTCTGGTGTGGAAGTAAGACAATAGGGCTTTCTAGTCACGATGCGTTGTTCTCCCAAGGTTTGGGTCTTCGGGCCATTTGAGATGGTGTAGGACTCCCATTTGTTGGGGTGATATTTAGCTTCTGCAGCCCAGGAATGTCTTGCCCAGCCTGGACCAGGCGGAAGATCTCAGAGAAAGACACAGAAGTATCTGGACTCTGAGGCTGGTCAGCTGGGCCCTCTTGAAGTTCTTCCTTCCTATCCTCCACAGTACTGGGAAATGAGCTTGCTGTCCCTGCTGCTGTGGATTCCATGGTTTGGTGGGTGGATACCTGATGTCCAGTTGCAAGAACCAGCTGTCTAATGTTCAATGTTCACTTTGGTATCAGAGAAAAGGAAGCACCCCTGAAAAGAGACATTTTTCAAATTAAAGAGAGGGCAACTCAAGCTCCAGGTAAGGTTCCTTTCCAATTCTTATAAGCGACTAAATTAGGCTTCCCTGTGAGTAGCTGTGGTCCACAATGTCTGGACCTTGTCTCAATTCATAATCTTTATTTTAAAATATTAACATCATTTTTGTTTGCTTGCTACCACTTCGTTAGCTGCCTGAGGTGCATACATAGATGTTAAAAGTGTGGAATATTTTATTTATATACTTTTTTATAAATAAATAAGGAAACTCTTATCTGCTTATTTAAATAAATAAGGGCCTTCTTGGTAGCTGCTCCAAGTTTTTGGAAATCCCTCTCTAGAGAAGCTAGACTGGCTCCTTCCTTCTTGTCCTTCCAGGTGGAAGTGACTGCTTTTAATTAAAGTACTGGTGCTGTGCTGTGCTGATTATATTACGTTAATTATATTATTTTATTTTATTAATGCACGCATACACACACACAAAAAACACCATATAGTTTTAATTCTATTTATGCTTAATTGGTTTTTAATTGCTCTTTCTATGTTTTTGCCAGGAACAGGCACCTGGTTTCCTGTACCCTCCAGCCACAGCCCCCAGTCTGGGTGGCATTCCCCTTTTTCATGCAATTTCATCATACCACAAGCCAAAAGGGCTTTTCAACCTCTCTGTTCCCCTCAGCTGCAGAAAACCTGGAAGGGGGCTTACCATCGGAGACCGAACAAGGGCAGGAAAGGACGCGCGTGGGCAAGTGGGAGTAGTTACACGTACTTCAAACCTCGGGTATCAAACAGTTGGGCATGAGGATCTGGGGGGAATAAACTAAACCCGCATTGTGCTTTTTTTATGTTGTGGCCAATGCCCCGTGATCTTCGGGTGGAGGGCGGGATACAAATTTAATAAATTACACAGCGATATACTGTAGTGAAATTTGGGTGAGGAAATGAACCCTTTCACGAGTCCTGCTAAATCTGGGTGGGTTAACCCCCAGAGCCTATTACAGGGCTCAGCCCCGACCCTCTCTCCCCCTTTACACGGAGGTAAGCGCCCCACCGGTCCCAGCCGGCCTACTCTGCAGGGAGGCAGCGCCCACGTGCCAGCTCCTTACACAGGCCCGCTGCCTCCCCCCCCCCAACGCCAAGGGTTGCCGAAAAGCGGAGCCCCCCCCCTAAGAGACCCCCGCCCCTTACCCTTTGCAAGCCGAATCCCCGCAGCCGGGCTGCTCCACACAGGGCGGACGTCATGGAAAGCACCACCAGGGCAGCGAGGGGGAGGCCGGGCCGTACCAAGAGCCATCTGTCGCCGGGGGAGGAGGCCTAGGAGGAAAACAGGGCTGCTGCGCCTAACTCACTTCATTCCCTCCCCAGTTAATAGTCCATGAATCCCGCACAAGCAAAATTTAAGTCGGCCAGCCGAGCTTTTCAATCGGGGAAGGGGTTGAATCTGCATATGCAGCACCTGCAGACTAGATAAACAAACAAGCAAATACAAAAGGGTGGTTTTTTTCATGTGCAGAGTAGACCCATTGAAATCAATCTGCCCAACTTAGGCTTGGCTGCTGATTTCAGTGGGTCTATTTGGCGTAGGCATAACCCCATACCTTCCAACATTTCTCGGATGAAAATAGGGACTTCCTATTCCATCATCATGATGGTTTTATTCTTTATACCCCACCCATTAAACATTTTTAAAAAACCTTCCCTATACAGAGCTGCCTTCAGATGTCTTCTAAAGGTTGTACAGTCTGGGATCACCTACCCTCCCCATACCCTCCCACATTTCTCCGATGAAAATAGGGACGTCCTAATGCATGGGTAGGCAAACTAAGGCCTAGGGGCCGGATCTGGCCCAATCAGAATGTGTCCTTTTATTTAAAATGCATCTCTGGGTTATTCATGGGGCATAGGAATTCTTTCACACACACCCCCAAAAAATATAGTCTGGCTCCGCACAAGGTCTGGGGGACAGTGGACCGGCCCCCTGCTGAAAAAGTTTGCTGACCCCTGTAACGTTTCAGTATAAAATCAGAAACCGAAGCGGCTTCTTTAAATCCGGGGCTGTCCCTGGAAAATAGGGACACTTGGAGGGTCTGATAGCACTACGATCCAATGGGTTGACCCAAATGGGGGATGGTGTGGAAGGAAAGCAGCTCACACCAATAAATTTTGCATCCTCTGGTCCCTGGAGCAACTCACTGTGTACAGCTCCTCCCCTGAAAAGTCTCTCCAGAAGGTCTGGTCTGGGGACCTTCTTTATTTCATTTCATTTATTGCATTTATACCCCCACCTTTTTCTCCAAGGAGCTCAAAGTGGCATACATGGTTCTCTCCTGCCTCATTTAATCTCCACAACAACCCCGTGTGATAGGTTAGGCAGAGATAGACAGTGTCTCGCCCAAGGTTACCCAGAGAGCTTCAAGGCCCAGTGGGGATTTGTACCCAGTATGATACTCCAACCATTGCACCGCACAGTCCTATTGCATGCAATGGGGCTACTTCTGAAAAGACATGGTTAGGATGGGCTGTACTGCATACTAAAAATATTAAAATCCTGCAGCACGAAAAGGCTGAATTCTGCAGCTTGCATGACTCATGTAACCTGGACTACTATGTACAAATTTCTCTTATTGCATTTTTTCCCCCAATTTCTCCCTATTTCACATAATCATGGAGTGTTCTATGGGATGCCAATATGATACATGCATCATGTGCAATGGAGGCAAATAGTAGGATGATTGAATCAGGAAAACAGGTGTAAAATATATTTGAAACCATCCCTCAACCTTGATCCAAACTCTGTCCATTAACACTTTTAAAAAATCAAAAAAATAATCTGAGAGACCCTGGCTAGAGACTTCCCATTTTGTGCCTTCCTTGGCTCTGAGATTTTCGGGTGCGTTCTGGACCTGCTGCCCTATTCAGTGCTTTCTCTAGCAGGAGGTATGTCTCTCAAATAAATGTGCAAGCTTTCGGAGTACCACAGGACGCTGCAATTGTTATGTCAAGTTCTGGTGGTACTCACATAAGCCAGTTACACAGCTAAAATAATCAAAAGGTGTGCTTAAAAAACACACACCAAAACACCTCTGTTGTTTACTAGGGAGCAGCTGTGCAACCGTTAGCTGCGGGAAAGGAGTACTGAGGTCAGAGAGGAAGAGAGATGGGTTGAGCACATTGCCTGCTAGTCTAGCGCACTCTCTGTTTGTGTAGCTGCTCATTCTCACAAGATGTCTCCAGCTCTCCACCTTATGTTCCAGCACCTCCTGACCAGCGCAGCACTCCAACTTCTGACCTGTGAGTAAAACACCATAGCTTATTTGCTTGCTTGTTGGGGGTCAGTGTGACAAGTAGGGAGGGAGAAAGGTTGTTTTCTGCTGCTCCAGAGAAGCGGACACGGAGCAATGGATCCAAACTACAAGAAAGAAGATTCCACCTAAACATTAGGAAGAACTTCCTGACAGTAAAAGCTGTTCGACAGTGGAATTTGCTGCCAAGGAGTGTGGTGGAGTCTCCTTCTTTGGAGGTCTTTAAGCAGAGGCTTGACAACCATATGTCAGGAGTGCTCTGATGGTGTTTCCTGCTTGGCAGGGGGTTGGACTCGATGGCCCTTGTGGTCTCTTCCAACTCTATGATTCTATGATTCTATGATTCTAAGTATCATTCAGGATGCAGGGGGAGTCCATCTGCCTGATGTTATACGAGTTTTTAAAAAAACAGAATGAAATAAAAGAACTTGGGATCTGGAATTTTAAAATTGTCCCACAGGGGCCTAAAGTCTGCACTAAAGTTTAGAGTCCAAACACAAACAAAACAAATTATATTTGACCAAAATTGTGCACTCAAAATTAATTATAGGACTGCAGAGTTGGAAGTGATCCCAAGGGTCTAACTCCTTGCAATGCACACCATCCCCCATCCAATTTGAAACCATACTGGACCCTGCATAGCTTTGCAAATGCAGTAGCAGTTTTATTGCTGCACCACCTTGCTCATCATTACAATAGAATGTGTAGTACCTTAATTTTGCATCCTTTAGCCTGCAAAACCAGACATGGGGGTGGGGGTGGGCAGGAAGCAGAGTTTGTCCCAGCAGGAGGGAATGTTATAAAACCAAACATGCAAATGTTATAAAATGTTATAAAACCGAACATGCAAACCAGAGGCAGAGCTGCCTGGCAGAGCTGTTTGCTTGGAAATTTTTCAGAAGTGTCTTATACAACCTTTGGGCCTTGGCAAGTAAGCACCAAGAGTTTTGCAGAGTGGGGTGCAAGGGAATCATTGCCACAAGTTCACCTGCCGGGACGACCCTTTCTGGCTATGGGAGTTGCTCTGGCCCCTTGATCATTCATTGAATTGGACAGAAACCGTGGGATGGGAAGAATCCCTGTTTTTATGAAAGACAGCTCAAATGAAGTAAAAACCAAGCGAGGCTCCACCAAGAAGAACCCCCCAAAAAATTATCTGCATAATTTGTGTACATAAAAACCAGTAGCTCTCCGATCAAGTAGTTTTGCTCATGCACGTTTATAATAAACTCTCAGCAGGTCGCTTATCTTGGAGCTTAAACGCAACACTGGCACCGCCACTCCACGTGATAGTAAACGGCGAAAGGAAGACCCTGGTAATTTGCCTGGTGAACGATCTCTCTGAGGAAGCACTGGGGGCCGTCCGGTTTTCCAATGAAAATGGGAGCATGCTGGAGTCTTTCACCTATGGGATTTCTAAGGAAGACGATGGGACTTTCAGCAGCATCTCTCAACTCTCCATCAGCACCAAAGAATTTGGATCGTGGAGTACAGTCGCTTGCTATGTCGCACCAAACGAAACTTCAAAGACATGGAGCACCACCTCCCTTCAACTCTCAGGTATTCATGAATGGGGGGATGGGAGTATGGACAGTAGATGTACTTTTAGGACCTCATAAATTAACAGTGCAACCCTATGCATGTCTAATTAGAAGTCCCATTGAGTTCAATGAGACTTACTCCCAGGTAAGCATGCATTGGAACGCAACCTCATTTATCTAGTTACTGTTATCCTGTTACACTTAAATCCTGCCTTTTTGGCAATGAACTCTCTCCTTCTAACTGATGTGTCCTAATACAATCAGTCGATCAATAAGGGCATTTATGCACAAATTCCAGGTGCTTCAAATCAGTAAATTAATAACCTGGAAACTTATATAACACAACCAAGGCAGGCATGCTACCAATCTTTCCCTTGCAATGCCTTCTCTAAGTCATAATTTTGTCTTACAGAAGAAAATATGGGAGATCTCTGCCTGAGTGAAAAGCAAGAAGGTAAGAACAAGAATGCATTCTCCTTCCAATCTCAGTTATACTAAGAGCTCAGTTCCGAACCTGGTGTTTTGGGGGCAGGAATTCAGACAAAGCTGTTGTAAGTATACAAGGCTAGTGTTTGGACCCTTGTGCCATGACGAACAACTAAATTCCAGATTCATATATCCTTATAGAACACAATTTGAGCTATTAGGAATGAAGCAGATTAGAGAGGAAGGCCACAGCTGCAATTCTATCCACACCTATAGGGTCAGTGCCAGAGGTCAGGGGGTCTTTGGCACAGTGTTGCCCATGCCCTCCACCCCCCCCCCAAGCGTTGGTTGGCATCCGTCTGTCTCAGGGGACAATGGAAGAATGCATCTGTTGGAAGGTTACAGCGCCTGCTGTGGCTGTAGAGACAGATACAGAAAAGACATGTTTTGTTGCAGCTGGGGCAGATGAATGAAATTGGTTGTGCAGATGTAGATTCAGTTGTTCTCTGTGCACTCTTCCCAGTGGTCATTCCTTCTTTGGTCACTGCTATGGACGCACAACCTGACTATGTGTCTCCAGGTACTGCAGTCGTCTACAAGGGATTCCCACATGGTGGGTTTGCTGTTGCCAGTTTTCATATCACTTCTTTGTAGTGCAGATCTGCTCTGCCAACAGGCCTGGTGCCTGAAGCCAGCTCCCAATAGAGCACATCCTTGGGGATCCTGCCATCTTCCATTCTGTGGACATGATGCGCCTGGGAAGCTAGTGCGCCTGGGAATCAATTTTTGCTAACTGAATGAGAAATTGAGGATAAAAGACTTGGCAGGACCTTGCACCCAGAGACGAACAACAAAACCAAAGACAGAGCACCCTTTGAGTGCTTGTAGAAATAGGAAAAAGAGAGAATTAGAATTACAAAATCTGCTATCCTCTTGTTAAAAGTTAATAATGAAAAGTGTAAACTCTAAATTGTCTGGAACTACCTTATCAATTGGGACGCAGGTGGCGCTGTGGGTTAAACCACAGAGCCTAGGACTTGCCAATCAGGTCGGTGGTTTGAATCCCCACAACGGGGTGAGCTCCCGTTGCTCAGTCCCTGTTCATGCCAACCTAGCAGTTCGAAAGCACATCAAAGTGCAAGTAGATAAATAGGTACCACTCCGGCGGGAAGGTAAACAGCATTTCCGTGTGCTGTTCTGGTTCGCCAGAAGCGGCTTATTCATGCTGGCCACATGACCCGGAAGCTGTACGCCGGCTCCCTCGGCCAATAAAGCGAGATGAGCGCTGCAATCCCAGAGTCAGTCACGACTGGACCTAATGGTCAGGGGTCCCTTTACCTTTACCTTATCAATCAGATTACTGCTGTCTCTCCTGATAGTTTGATCACCCATTGGGCTTGGCAGCAATTAAGAGATAACATAGGTAACACAGGCCTGTATCCAGAGCAGGGGTAGGCAACCTAAGGCCCGTGGGCCAGATGCAGCCCAATTGCCTTCTCATTCCGGCCCACAGACAGTCTGGGAATCAGCGTGTTTTTACATGAGTAGAATGTGTGCTTTTATTTAAAGTGCATCTCTGGGTTATTTGTGGGGCATAGGAATTCGTTCATTTTTCCCCTTCAAAATATAGTCTGGCCCACCACATGGTCTGAGGGACAGTGGACTGGCCCACAGCTGAAAAAGGTTGCTGACCCCTGATCCAGAGTATTGAGGGGGCGGGGGGTAGAGCACAAAAGTGGCTGGGGATATAATTCTTCTGTGGATATTACTCTGCCTTATTCTTTCTTCTTTTTGTGGTGGCAGCCCAAGAAGAGTCATTGTTCATTGAAGATCTACATAGCCGCTCACAGATCTTACTTCTTCTGGCCATCAGAATTTTGCTGTTCAAGTTGCTCCTGTTTGACGTGTTGATGACCTGCTGCATTGTTTACAAGAGGTAATACTGGCCACAACATCCAACACATAAACCTAGTCCAGATATAAAGCTAAGCCAAACCATGGACTCGAATGAGCAAGCAAATGTGCAGTTTCCTGGATCACAGATTGTGATAGCAGTGTACCTCTCTCATTCTGCTGCTGCCACACTACCCAGAGCTATGCCATAGATAGATAGTTTATTACGGCCATAGGCCCATATTCAATACATCATACAACAAAACAGGTATAACAAAATAAAATTGATAAATTAAAATACATTTAAATCGAGTACATCTCAAACCGTAAATTTCTACATTCCATTAAAATAAGAACAATATAGCGCTTAAAATATCAAATTATCAATATATATCAATATTATTTGAACAAAATCAATAATCATAGAGTAATCCATTTTTCCTCTTATAAGCTAATACTGTTATCAGAAATCTGGCAACAGAAAGGGACCTACTCGGATCAGAATCTTGCAATAAATATATTAGCTGTGTTTCCAAGGAGTCACCTGGGATTTCCAATAATAAAGGGGACAAGAATCTGATCCGAGAAACTGAATGTAGTGGACAACAAAATAGTATATGTTGTAAAGATTCTATAGATCTATTATCACATACACACACCGCTGAGATCTGACCATTGGAAAATCTATTATTCAAGACATTGGAAGGGAAGGCGTTAAATCTTGCCTTAATAAAGGCATATCTGTGGGCCGCTACAGACAAAGAAGTCAAGTAAGATGGTATCTGCTGCGAGGGGACTATGCCAAGATTTAATGGTGAGCAAGTGCCACTACCCAAAATGGTGTTTTGTTGTAGGTCAATCTCCTCAAGTTTTTGAGTGAGGGTTTTTTTTGCTGTGGCTAGGTCCAATTCCAATAATTCTGATGGAGATAATCCATAAGTCACTACTTTAGAATGGATCTCTTTTGCCCCTAGGACGGGAAAATTATCTCTCCAGAGGCATTGGATCAAATACAGATTCGGGAGCCTATGCCTTAGGGACAACCAGTAACAAAGGCTACGCCTCCAAAGAGTATTTTCTAAAGATGTAGTTTTTAATTCTAAGCGAATAGCTGCGTTACTGACGCACTGAGGGAGTTTTAGCAGTCGTCTTAGAAATTGATTTTGAATTACCTCCAAGGGCATCAAGTTTACTGCGGTCCCCCATAAAGGAACAGCATATGCCAATGTTGCAATTACTTTAGCTTTGAATACTTTCAAGGCAGATGGAACATGAAGAGCCCCGTCCGAAAAGAAAAAGCGCAATAGCGCAAAGGATAGGGCCTTGGCCTTGTTTAAAATATATGCAATATGCGCCTTCCAACCCAGATTATATTGGAGAAAAACTCCCAGGTATTGAAATTTATAGACCTGTTCAATAGGTTTTCCATCTAATTGCCACTTATAGGATTTCCGACTTTTTGAGAAAATTAATACTTTTGATTTAGATTGATTTATAGTGAGGGAATTTGTTTTACAATATGAAACAAAGAGTTTTAGTGCTCTCCTGAGGCCAATTCTTGAGTAGGATAAAATCACAGCATCATCAGCATAGAGTAATAATGGGCAACGATAGTTTGCGAGACGGGGGGCATGGATAATTTCCTGAGATTCAGCCAATGGTATCCTCATATCACTAATGAATAAATTGAAAAGAAAAGGAGCTAGGATACATCCTTGCCGGACACCTCTGTTGATGGGCACAGAGTTTGTGAGATCGCCGGCTGGGGTTATTCTCACTCTAGCAGCCGACCCCTCATGCAGCTGGATTATTAACCATAAAAGTCTTCTATCAATTCCCCATCGGGCCAACTTTTCCCAGAGTAACCTTCTGGGGATGCTGTCAAATGCAGCCTTAAGGTCGATAAAAGCCGCACAAAGTTGGCCTCGGTTTAAAGAGGAATATTTCCGGGCTAGATGGTGCAAGACTAAAACCTGGTCCGTAGTTGACTGGTTCGGTCTGAATCCTGCTTGCTCAGGGCCTATCAGTTTCTTTTCTTCAGCCCATTGGGTAAGTCTATTCAGCAGAAAACGCGCGTATATCTTTCCAACTATTGACAGTAAGCTAATATTCCTATAATTATCCGGATCGTCTGGGGAGCCTTTTTTATATATTGGAATTATAATAGCGTCCTTCCATATTTTTGGCACCCTTCCGGTTGCATTAATAGCATCGAAAGTAACAGCCAGAATTTTTGCCCACCAGTCGGAATGTAGTTTTATGGCTTCCGCCGGAACCAAATCTGGCCCAGGGGCTTTGCCGATTTTAAGTTTAGAGATTAAATTCAAGATTTCATCGGGGTCAGTAGGAGGCCAGATGGGGAGATGATCAAATACATCATCAAGAGCGTTGGTATTGGAATCTGGTGACGCAAAATATTTCCTTAAAAAGGATTCCCAGACCGGGGCAGGAATTATTGTTAAGGGGTATCTCATTGATCTTCTATTGACCATTTGCCAAAATTGCCGTGAGTTACATGAACTAGAGGCGGCTATAAGCGCCTGCCAACGATTTTGTTGCCACTCTTGCTTAGCCATTCTCTGGGCTTGCTTATATGCTATTTTTGCTTGTTGGTAATTCTTAGGTAATACTAAGGCACCAGAAGATTTATATTCATTGTAAATGGCACAGAGATGTCGTCTAGCTTGTTTGCATTTTAAGTTAAACCAAGGGGCACCGGTCTTAAAATGGGCCTGATTTACTTGGATGGCTGGTACTGTAAAAAAGGACATAAGATTTTCTGTAAGCAGAGAGAATGAATTGATAATTTGTTCATGCCCATACAAATCTAAATCTGAAACAACATGAGTTTGAATTATCTCTTGTTGGAAGAATTCCATATATTTTTGGGCTTGAGTTACTGACCATTTTATTCCTCTCACTTGTTCTGCAGTATTTATTCCCATATATATGGGGTGTCTAGACTTGATAAACTGCCAGTCTAGGGAAGCTTGGCACTCAAGGGGAGATGGTCACTCATTTGAACGTTTTCTATTTTAAAATAAGAAAAATTTGGGAATAAATCTCTGGAAACAATAAAATAATCGAGAACACTATTTGTAAGTGTGCTCAAATGAGTAAACTCACCCGGAATATCCGGGGGACAATTTCCATTTAAAATTATCAAATTCAAACGTAAAATCAGCTGATAAAGAAGGGTTCCCGCTTCATTAACCCTATTATCTTTTGATTTTCTCTGTATATGGGGGGAGAAATCCAAGTTCTGGTGATCAGGTATGACCCACCAATTGGCCTTGCCTAGCGCTTCCCAGTTTGCAGCTGTACAAGCATTAAAATCACCTCCCATGACTGCTGAGATGTTTGGGAACTTAGTGTAACAGAAATCTAAGTGTTCTTCAAGTGTTTCCCATTTGGAGTGGAGGTCCACTACCTGCCCCCCAGGGGGGAAATAAACATTTGTTACCAGTAATTCAAATTTCCCTCCTGAAATCAATCCTGTAATCGCGTAGGGAGAGGAAGATTTAACAAGTGTAAGTTTTGCTTGCAATTTGAGGGAAATGGCTATTACCAAACCTCCCCTAGGGCGTCCACCTTTAAGAGAGGGGCTAGCTGGAAGCAAAATGGTATCGTATCCATTTATGTCAATCACCTCCTCTTCCCAAGTTTCTTGTAGGAGAATTACTTGGAATAAATTAACAAATTTTAAGAAGTCTGGATCAGATTTCTTCCCCCTCCATCCTGCAATATTCCAGCATAGAAATGACATCAAGGAGTGGCTGGGTTGGTCGTTAGGTAGTCAGATCATGTGGGAATGGGATTCTAAATTTGGGGGAGTTTCAGCTTCAAAAAAATCGGTAATTTTCCTTTGAGAAGGTGGCAATCGTGCTATACATCCCAACTGTTTAGATTTATTGGGGTGGTTTGGCTGTAAAGTCATGCCACTCGTCTCTCTAAAGGCAGCTGTTAGGCCTAAGATAGTCGACTTTTCAGAGCCAGATGGTAGAGTTAGGGGGGTATTACTTAGAGAGAGCGAAATTAAGTCAGCAGGTATCGTGCCACTAGTTGGGTGATCATTAACTGTTTGGATAGTTTTGTTAATACGACCTGTCGGGTCTTCAACCAGATCACTCTTCGGGGCTAAAAATAAAATAGAGTCGTCTCTCATTTGTTGGTCTGGTTCAGCTGGTTCTGTTACCGGTTCGATGGTATCTATGGATTTATTCAACTTGCACACGTTAGAAGAGAGTGGGTTAATAAAGTTACAAGTAAGTGGACCCATATGGGGCACTTTACATGGAGAGCCTAATTCAGTTTCGTTAAGTTCCCTCATTTTGTCCCAGGCAGATGTTGTAGCCATATTTGCCTCAGAGATGGGGTGCATGCTAGATGGGTCTGGTGCTGGGGTTTCCGCCTCCAGAATATGGGAGAGTGGATTTATCTCCGCAACAACCAGTTGGCTGGTAGGGGTGTGTGCCTTCCCAACCCACAGGTCCAGTTCTTGGTGGTATAAACGTGGGGCAGAATCTGAACTACAGTCTCTATCAAGCATATTTTGTTTAGGTAATCTCAGCTGTTCCTCCGTCACTTTTGTCAGGCAGAAGTAAAGGGTATCAATTTTATGAAGTATTTCTTTCTGAGCTTCTTGCGGGAGGACGCTATAAGAGTGGAGTAAGTTATTATCAAAGGTATCAAGGTCGATTCCCTGGTTCTCCGGATACCTGGGCCCAAGGGAGTCCAACCTTTGAGAGTTCTTGGCAACCAGACCAGTAGGATGTTTGGAGATGTCCTCCACAGAGTTTATATCAATTAGGACGTGTTGGTCAATTCCGTGTTGAGTTTTTGGCAAATTTACAGTATGGGGGATAAGTGGAATTGGAGGTGCTTCATTTTTAAAGTACCTTGAGATTCTTATACCACTCGTCTCCAGATGTTCTCTACATTTGTACACTAGTTTTGCCAGTCTCCCCTCATAGAATGAGACTACCGTTCTGGCAAGGAATCCGTTGAAGTATAGATATTCCACTTGGGCCAAATCAGTAGGGTTATTAAGGATACCCGGCATATAGATCTTTAAAAGGTTAAATAGATGGACTTTACGCTCTTCTTGTGACAGGAGTCCTGGGGGCTTAGGATAATTTGATAAAACGAGTTTATTTCGGTACAGCACCAGATTCCAGTTTTTATTTGTTAGATTTGTCAGATTTCTCTTCTTAGAGGGATTGGTTTCATCCGCAGATAGAATGTAAGACCATGGATCTTGGATCAAAATGTCTTGCTTGGAGTTAGGTGTTGGGGTAGGTGTTAAGGGTCCCAAGCAATCCATCGCAGCGTCAGGGCAAGGGTTTATAGAACGTTCTTGCTTGGGAGATTTCCTGGTTAGAAGTTTCTCAGTGTTCCCTCTGGTATCGGTTATTGGGATACTCTTGAGAAGATTAAAAAGCTTTTTAAAATCCATTTTTTTGTAACGCACTGCCTTAAAATTTTTAACATTTCTGCTCTTTTTTACCCTTATGGGCCTCCTTTTCAAGGCAGTAGCCCCACAAGATCTCTTGGCCTTCCTTGGTGGTCTGTTTTTGCAGGTGGTAGGAAGGAAGTTGTTATTACTTTCCAATTCTGCAGTCACCCCACTGGGTTCCCTACAGATAGTTTTGTAAGTGTCCATCATTATAGTGAGAATTTCTGTACAAGTGGCCAGATGAGATTTTATATTTTCAATATCTTCAGTTAAGAGCACAAGCCATTTGATAACTGATAAATCCTCATCCTCGTTTGTCTCAAGTTGGAAGCAGGAGTCTCTTGATGTTTTAGGGTTTCCCAAAAACAAAGACATCTCTGCAATTTGTTTTAACATTAGTTCTTCCACTTCTCGGACTCGGGATGGTTCAGGAGAAGCTTGGGATTTAGGTCTCTGTTTTGGGAATACTTCGGTGACTGTACCAATTAAGTTTGGATTTACTTTGGGCTTTATTGGCCCTTTGTTGTGGCATTCTTCTACACAATCCTCTCTCTGCACAGCCGGCCCTTCAGTGCAGGAGGGAGAAGTTTCAGTTTCCTGCTGATTCTCACTCGGTTTGACTTTACCCCTATTCTTAAAGGGCCGAGTGCTTTTTGTGTGTGCTCCCTTTAGGGTAGTTCTTTTAGAGAGGGGTCTTAAATTGCTCCGATAAAAGCCTGATGTTCTACAGCCACTCCTGGTCGTCACCATTATTTATCTTGTAAAGGTCAAGTTGGTAAAAATCTCACCTCGGCTCACCAGCTCCTTCGGGGTCGCAGCAGGGCCCTCCGTGGGACCGCTTCCAAGGTAGGCAAGTAATTAAGACCAATTTGCTGAGCTCCTTTGCCGTGGGAGTCACAGGCTTTCAAGGTTGATGGTGTCGTCTATTGTTCCTTATCTGCAAGGCGCTGACTCATCCGGCACTTTCTCTACTCACAGCTCAACATTCTTCTGCTCTCAAGCTCCAGGTTAAAAGAAATGGTTATGATTAAGAAAAATAAAATACTTGGTCTAAAACGAGTTAAAACGAGATAAAATCAATTAAAACTCAGTTAAAATTTGTGGAGCTCTGGAGCTGACTGCCTGGCCTGCCGCCATCTTCTCCTCCTTTCGACAGCTGGACATAGAAAGGGCCCCCTAACCTTCAGGAGCTGAGGGCCTCATCAAACCTCAATCCGGCCCTGGGGTCTACTCACCCCACACCTTGACTTTCCCATGCAGACCTGGTCAGGCTTGCATGCCAGAAGACTGGTGAGGAAGTGGCCCTCTGCACCCGCTCAGAAACACACTCTCCGTACTGACCTCACCTGCTCCAGGCAGAGCTATGCCATGGTTTGGTTTAGCATCACATCCAAAGCCAGGCTCATGGTTTGCCTCACTTCAGACGAACCACAGTGTTTGTTCTTGGTTTACTGCTCATGGTTTGTCTGGGGAAACACAAGCATAGGTTTGGATGTAATGCTAAGCCAAACCATAGCTCAGCCATGGGTAGCATGGTGGCAGCACAAACACCACTGAACTCTTTGAAGGAAGGGTATGGTGTCAAAATGATGATGATGGTGATGGATAGTAAAGTTCAGCTCCCAACCTGCTGTAATCTTCCCTCTCCTTTCAGGGAAGATATCCCGTTGCACCTGAAGGCTTCCAACTTTTCTGCAGTTCATCCACACAGAGTCAGAACTGCTTCTGTCACAGAAATTGTTGCTATGAAAAGCACAGAGCAATGGACTGGGGGAAAGGCAACTTTCACATATCTGGCTGAAAAGAAGGAACTCCATATGGAAGCAGAGTATGTGTCCTGAAGATGGAAGCATTCACTTGAACAAAAGAGGGAGAGACTAGCCTGGTTTGAATACTGGCTGAAAAACAGGCTTTTGGCTTCCTTTCATCTGCCTCTGCTGTGACCTTCGATTTGGGTTCTTTGATGCTGAACACTAATCGGACAACAACTAAGCCAGGCACCCAGGCTGTACCGGTACACAAATCCACACAAATAACAAGGCTTGACACCCTTTCGATATTCTTGTGTTGAAAGCGCAGTATGTGATGTCCTGAGAAGAATGTTTCTCTCTTGAATATTGCCGTGTGATATTTCTTTGTTCATAATTGTACATATAGTCTTGCTTGCATTGTCCTCAATTATACAGCTCGTTGTCATCTTTATGAGAGAATGCCTAAGGCAGTGGGGTCTGAAACCTGTGTCCCCCTCCAGAAATGGACTGGGCTATAACTCCCATCGTTCGTGACCATTGGCTGGGGGACCTGGGGTTGATGGGAGTTGGGGTCTAATAACATCTGGAGGGGCATGGCTTCACTCAAGAAGTGGACGGTGTTTTTCAGCCCGATGGCCATGTTCCTTCCAGGACATGCTTCCATAACAGTTTATGTGTGGTCAAGGTGGGTGCAGCCAGTCACTCGCTGCTTTCCAGCCAGACAAGCAAAGAGGTATTTATCCATTTCAAGGGCATTTTCCAGCCAGGTAAAATCAGGGGCAGTGAGGGGTGTGGCCTGGGGGGCCCTGAGAGTTGGGCAACCATATTCAGCCCCCTGAGCCTGAGGTTCTCCACTCCTTTCTCTGTAGTAGGGAGTGAGGTTCTGGGTTTTCAGCCCTTCCAAAGTAGCAAAATATTAATTGCATAAGAAGTCATTAGGTGCAGGATCACAAGTGCATCGTCATTGCTCAGCATCTGCAACATCATGTCACAGTGGTACCCTGCCTATGTGAAACAACAGCTGTCACAGGATGAATGGCACAGACAGACATCACACCATCTTTAGCAAGCAGGGCTCCAGTTCTGAATCCTGGCAGGTGCAAGGAGGAAGGTGCATGCAAGGGAGGCATGGGATAGGGGTTGGTTCTTTCCAACATTCTTGGAACTGTTACTTAACAGACATATGAATACAATTAAATGCTCTGTGTGTGTTTACAGAACAGCCAAAGCATGTCTAGCATTTTTATGAGGATTTATGCAGCAATTGTGGATTGTAACAACAATCACAAAAACCCTCTTCCTGTTTGTATTTTACAGGTGCTATAAATCTGTTTTCAAAAATAAATTACTTAATTTTTTAATAATAATAATTGTAATATTTATACCACACCCGATACAGGGTTGCCTTCAGATGTCTTCTAAGAGTCAGATAGCTGTTTATTTCCTTGACATCTGATGGGAGGGCATTCCACAGAGCAGGCGCCACTACGGAGAAGGCCCTCTGCCTGGATGCTTGCAACAATAATGTATGGAGCAGGTAGGTAGCTGCAACAGCCAGTGGAGTGTTGGTGATTACGCATGCTGCCAAAATACGAACTCACTATGTAGCAATAGGCAAGCCCCTCTCCACCTCAGTCCTCCCATCTGCAGCTGAAAGCCAAAGCTCTTAAGCCTCTTAAGCAACAGCTGCAGGTTTTGGGACGGGAGAGAGTAAAAAACAGCGAGTAGCTGCGTATATCCTAACCATCTCAGTAAGTTTGGGTTGTTGTTTTTAGTAAGTTCGCAAACCGTTTAGAACACTTAAGTTGATGGGCAGCATAGAATGTCATTAAGTAAAAAGTAACAGCACGGACCCTATATATGTCACGCCAGAAGCGGTTTAGTCAGAGATGAGCACCGCAACCCCATAGTCGCCTTTGACTGGACTTAACCGTCCAGGGGTCCTTTGTTGTTGTTTAGTCGTGTCCGACTCTTCGTGACCCCATGGACCAGAGCACGCCAGGCACTCCTGTCTTCCAGGGGTCCTTTACCTTTTACCTTATCCCACTGAGTTGGAGCCAACTTATCCCCATGTAAATGACAACACAGGATTCGCAGCCTGAGAACGCAAAGAACCGCCGCTCTGGAACTGGATAAATGGAAAATCTGAATAAGGACAGGAGGAGGATTCTCTCTACTCCCCACCCCCGCGCGTTACCTGCGCCAAATATTTGTGAATGCCTTTTTTACAAAAATGAATGGAGTGAGCATTCCTGGGTTGAGAAGAACGGAGGCGAGCACCAATCACAGGACAGCGCTGGCGGCATTCCCAGTGGCTGACCTGAGGGGAAAGCGAAGCTGCTCCATTGGAGAGGCGAGAGGGCGCACCCACCTTCCCCGCTCCTGATTGGCTGACATCTCAAAAGACCGGGCGCCTCGCGCAGGCCCGTTGGCCTCGGCGTGACACGTTCCCGGCCGCCATTGGCCAAGGGCTCCGGTTGTTATAGCTACGCTGCGGGAAAGGGAAAGGGGGGAGGTTCCCGGAAGCGCGGTGCGCGCTCTGGAGGGCTGTAGCGGCGTGGCGGCCTCTCGCGGGGGTCTCCTCCTCCCTCCATGGCTCCCTGGGCTCCCGCCGTCGCGCTCTGGCTCGCCCTGCTGGTAGGCCCGGCGCCTGGGCGCGGAGGGGCCATTGCCGAAGACAGCGAGTGGGTCAAGCTGCCCAGCAAATGCGAAGGTGAGAAAGGGAAGCCCCCCCAAAAAACCCGTTATTGCAGAGCTGTGGGGGGAGGGGAGAAATCGGCGCCTGGGTTTTGATTTTCCTCATCCCTCCCTGCTCCTCTTTCCTTTCGTGTCGTGTGAATTATTATTATTATTATTATTCATTTATTACATTTGCATGTACAGTACTGTACTGTTTTTAACATTTGATTGGGAGCCGCCCAGAGTGGCTGGGGAGACTCAGCCAGATGAGCGGGGTATAAATAATAAATTATTGTTGTTGTTGTTGTATAAATAATAAATTGTTGTTGTTACTATTATTATTATTATTATTATACCGTCCTTCATCCAGAGATCTCAGGGTGGTTCACAGCATCAGCATCAGCATCATCATCATCATCATCATAGCAAGAACAGAAGCAAAACAAACCAATAACTCCCACCCCTCCCACAAACACATTTAAAGGACATAGAATGATGATGATGATGATGATGATGAAGAAAAGCCTGCAGTTGGGAGCCTTTTTGGATGAAGGGTGGGGCCACAAATGCCCAAAATAAAATACATTGGTACCACAGGTTACGTACTTAATTCGTTCCAGAGGTCCATCCTTAACCTGAAACTGTTCTTAACTTGAAGGACCACTTTAGCTAATGGGGCCTCCCACTGCTGTTCTCATCCTGAAGCAAAGTTCTTAACCCGAGGTACTATTTCTGGGTTAGCAGAGTATGTAACCTGAAGTGTATGTAACCTGAGGTACCACTGTAAAGGGACAGGAAAAGGGGTAGTCAAAAACAGGGGGCTGAAGCTTCCTATGGGGAAAGGCTGTAGCTCAATGGCAGAGCGTCTGCTTGCAAGCAGAAGCTCCAAGGTTTGTTCAGTCCCCGCTGGCATCTCCAGGTAGATCTGGGAGAGACTCCCTGCCTGAAATCTTGGAGTGGTTCTGCTAGTCAGTGTAGACTGTATTGAGCAAGATGGACCAGTAGTCTGACTTGGAGTAATGCAGCTTCCTATGTTGAAAACCACATATTGCCCAGCCGTAGACATCCCTATATAAGGTAAAATGATGGGGAATCGGTGACACTCAGTATTTTACTGGGTGACAACTACCACCATCCCAGATCTTTCTTGATACTGGCTGTGGCTGTTGGGAGTTGGAGTCTGACAGCCACAGGTTCCCCTCCCTTGGCGAAGGACTTCCAGCACGAAACAATGACAGGCTTACAGGTAGACTAGCTTATGCAGGGGCACTTATATAAGGTAAAGCTGTCAAGAGTGAAAAGGGGATCTGAAAAGCGCCTTGTCACTAAAAATGGAACTTAAGAAGTTAAAGAGGAACAGAGAGAACTATGAGCCGGAAGTTGCAGAAGAGGTTCACTGAAGTGAAAGCCGGAGTGGTATTTAGGTAGAGGGTTAGAGCTGCCTTCAACCTGCTGCACTGTTATTGGGGATCATCCCTGACGGTTAGGCTGGCTGGGGCTGATGAATCCATCTGGAAGGCTGCTGTCAGCCCCAGCCAGCACAGCCAGTGGTCAAAAATGATGGGATTTGTAATCCCAACACGTTCCCTATCCCTGCCTTATTTTCTCCAAATATACACCATTGTTTGTTTCAATACGGCCTGCACTGTAAACTCTGTTATCTGCTTACCTACTGGCTTTTAATCACCAATTAAAATATGTGAGTGGTTACTAATTGGTTTTTTCTGTCTTTAGTGTGCAAGTACGTGGCTTTGGAACTGAAATCCTCCTTCGATGAAACTGGCAAGACCAAGGAGGTGATTGACACGAAGTACGGCTTTTTGGATGGCAAGGGATCCAAAATCAAGTACACAAAATCGTAAGTGAATGAGGCTGTTGATAGACCCTTGGAGGCAGCCATTCTTCACCTTGTACATTATTGCAATATCTTGGTCAGTAAGTAATTCAGAGAGGGTGTTAACTCTCCTGAATCTTACTTTTGTCTGCTAGGATATAAAATGCAAAAAAGTCACACCCATAAGCTACTTGCCATTTGTTCCTGCAAGGAAGGAAGGTTTCTTATTCCTTCTGCAGGATTGAGCTCTTTGGTTGTGCAGTATGCAATTTATAGGACTCCCCCAATATGCAGGCAAAAAAAGTGACCTTTCAGTAAAGATTGGACACCCTAAGTCCCATTGATATGGTGAAACTAACATACAGAATTGGATGCTTTAGGTCCTATTCTTAGATGTGCCTAGTTCGCATTGTGTTTTATGTTTCTAGTCCTCAATGTTTGAAGAAGGTAGGACAGGTAACTCACAGATTAAATGAGGTGAAGTCCCAGGGGTGTATGCGTATACACTGTCTATTGATTGAGACTGTGGAAAGGCACATTTTCATGGTTTTTCTGGAAAGCTACATTCCAGATTCAGAAGCTCTTACTAGCGAAGTCCCATAACACATGGAAATTGATCTCAAGCAGTGAGTTGATAAAGTGTTGAGGTACATTCTACCAGCTGCTGTTTTATACTTGTGTCATTGGACACTCATACAGAGATCCTGCCACTCACAAATACACTTTTTTTGCCTGCAGGGACATTCGCCTTATTGAAGTGACAGAAAACATCTGCAAGAGGCTTTTGGAATACAACCTGCACAAAGAGAGAACGGGAAGCAACAGATTTGCAAAGGTTTGAAACGTCTCGGGATTTCATCTTGTTTCCAGATTATTTTTTTTTAAATTTCTGCTTTTCGTTTTCTTTGCCTGTCTTGGCTCTTCCAGGATACACCACTGAACTCTCTCACTTCCTTTAGGGTATGTCTGAGACCTTTGAAACACTGCATAACTTGGTACACAAAGGAGTGAAGGTGGTGATGGACATCCCTTATGAGCTGTGGAATGAAACCTCTGCGGAAGTGGCCGATCTAAAGAAGCAGGTACAGCCCTTGGTGTCACACTTTGTGAAGGCCACATGACTGATGGCAGCACAGCAGTTCCAAGTAACGGGAGCTCATGGTTGATCTCCTAGAGCACCTTCACCAATCTGGGCCTCTCTGGATCTTTTGGACTACAATTCCCATCAGCCCAAGGCATCCGGGGAGCCCCAGATGGGTGAAGGCTGCCCTAGGATTCTCCTTTCGAACAGGAGAACTGAAAGCGAGAATTCTGCATCTAATGCTGAAACCACTGGCCTGTCAATCACATTTCCAGGGTGTGTTCCAAAGGTACATTTTCATGGATATTGGTGGGGGTGGAAAACTAGTGCATAACCTACCTCAGGCACCCCCAAACTTGGCCCTCCGGCTGTTTTTTTGAGACTACAACTCCCATCATCCCTAGCTAACAGGACCAGTGGTTAGAGATGATGGGAGTTGTAGTCCCAAAACATCTGGAGGGCCATGTTTGGGGGTGCCCATCCTAGCTAAAGCAAGGCAGGTCTGGTGATCCGTGGTTAGATGAGAGACTGCTGGGGGATCCTTTTCATGCCACTTTGAATTTATAGAGTTGTAGAGTTGGAAGGGAGGGTTACCTGGTCTGATCCCCCTGCATTGCAGGACTCTGAGGCCAGGTGAGATCTAAATGTAATGCGGCTTTGTCACAGCCAAGCTAGGGTTCATTTGCAGTGGTGATGAAGCTGTGTGGTTGAAAACACCACAAGTAGATGTTTGAAGGAGGATTTCTATCTCTCTCTCCATTAGTGTGAGGTAATGGTGGAGGAATTTGAAGATGTGATCGAAGACTGGTACCGGAACCATCAGGAAGAAGACATTTCCCAGTTTCTCTGTGCAAACCACGTCTTGAAAGGAAAAGACACCAGTGAGTTATGTTTCCTGGGAAGTGGCAGGCCCTTGTTATTGGGGTCCAGGGATATGTGTATGGGCGGCGGCCATTATAGGCACGTTCAATTAATGTGTAGCTGCCAGTGTGCGGGTCCTTTTGGACGTGGAAGAGGGTGGAACGGGGGATGGGGGTTGTGCAGACTGGGCTTATGTGTGTTCCGCCAATGTACGTGGGGGCTGGGAACGGAACCCCTGTGCAAAATGGCCACCACAGAACCATCCAGATGGTTTTCAGTCAGGAATGGGGCATATCCATCCCAGGTGTTGTTGGACTTCAACTCCCATCAACCCCAGCCATCATGGCCAGTGGTCAGGAATGATGGGCATTGTAGTCCTCACATTTATTTATCATATTTCTAACTTGCCTATAGTTCACAGAGCTTGGAGCAGCTTGTTGCTTTCCTTCCCTTGTATTTTTCTACCCTCACAACAGCACATTGAGAGCCGAGGGGTCGTGACTGACCCAAGGCTAGCTTGTGAGGTGAGTGAATGAAAGCAATGATTTCAGCCCAGGTTTTCTATTCACCCAGTCATAGTCAATGTGCTGCCCTCCAGATGCTGTTGGACTCCAATTCCCATCAACCACCACCATGCTGGCTGGGGCTGATGGGACCCAGAGTCCAACAAAAACAACTGGATGATACCACCAGATGTACTAACTAGTAACCTAAACTGAATGGAAACTTCATCTAAATAAATTAGGTGGCAACTGGAATTGTGTGCTCAGGGAGAAGTTGAGTCATTGCAAAATCCCATAGTCTCCTTTTTCTACCCCTCTCCTCTCTCCAGGCTGCCTGACAGAGAAGTGGGCTGGCAAGAAAGGGGACGTGGCAAGTTCAAGGCCGAAGAAGTCTAAGAAGAAGGAGGGCAAAGGCAAGAAGGCTTCAAAAAGCAAAAAGAGTGGCAAGGACAAAGCAGGGCAAGAAGGGGAGGGTGAGAAACCGAGTGTCCAAGAGGTCCCTGACCAATCAGAGGAGCAGGATGAAGCAAAGGATGCTGGGAAGGAGGCTCCGCTCTCACACAGGCCGGACGAACTGTAGGCTAGGTGCCAGCCACCCATGCTTTTCCTCGCGTGGACTCGCAAGCTTGTATTCAGGCCACTGAGAATTGCTTTCGCCCACCCGAGTTGCAAGATGGAGATTTCTCAGCTTCCTCGAGGGGGAAGTGCCAGGCTGTTCCTGACAGGCAAGGACCGTGGCCTTTCGAACTTTAGCCACCCAGTGTTATGGTGTCTCATCGCAGGTGCAGGGTGGGCCGAACCCAGCTAGCCCCTTGCCTGCTTAGAGGAGCAAGCCAGGCAGAAGGAGGGCCTGAAGGACTGGCTCCCTAAGTCTGCGTGGCTGGTGTTCAAAAACTGAGCCCGCTGCTTTCATCAATTGACCTCCACGAGCTTTGATCTGCTAAACGCAACTGGGGGGGCGGGTGGAAGGTAAGGAGAAAGTTGTAAGAGATCCAGGTTGGGTTGCAAGGCAGCTTGCCTCTCCAGCCCATTTGACTGAAGCCATGATAACCTCTCTATAGCCAGCGTAGCAGGCTCTCAACTTGGTACATTCCCTAAGTCGATTTTTTGGAAAGTCCTTCTTTTCATCATGCAGATCACTGCGTTTGCTTGGAGGGAAATGAGGGCGAAGGTACTATTCGTGTAAGGGCACTGTGCTTCTGTTGCGATATCTTTTTGTTGTTTTGTTTTGTTTTTGAATTACTCCTCACCTTAGTGGATCATTTCCTGCAGTTGCTCCAGTCAGGAGAGAACTTGCAGGTTGATGACGTCTTTCTCTTGCCTCTCCTCCCCTCCCTTAAAAACCTGTGCTTTCTGTTGCTGCGATGAACATTCTTCCTGTTTCCTGAAGTCCTGCAAAGAGTGAAAATAAAAGAGTTTTTGAGTAATTTGTGCTCCATCCGGCCCTTCCACTGGCTTTCTTTCCCCGCACTGCTATATGAATGATATTTACCTTTGTGAATCTTTTGAGGAAAAGGTTGCAATACAGTCATAAGAACCTTTGTGTCTCTCTTGGAAAGTACATAGAGCAGAAGGAGGAAGTTGGAAGAGTGATGCTTTATTCCCTTTTCAGCTCTGTGATCTTTTCAAGGCTCAAGTTAATTCTACTGGAACCAGGTTCTGGGAAAGCGATCTATTCTGGGGAGCCAGACTGATCCAGTGAAGAAGGAACTGACGGGTGCATGTGTGTCTGCAGCGCTTGCTCAAAAATCCAAAAGTGCCCCCAAGCCTAAAAGGTTGGCTTCCCCTGGTGTAGATGGGCACTCTGTGAGAGGGACCGGTAGTCTGACTCCGGATAAAGCAGTTTCTTACATTCCTTGGCTGGGCAAGTAGACCAGCAGCTGGCAGTCTCAGAGCTTCTCAAAGGGCAAGTCAGTCCATTCTCATTTTTGTCAGAGCTTTTTAAAGGGATAGGCACTGTCCCCAGCAAATACCTGCCAGTCCTAAAAGTTGGACGTTCAGTTAAAGGTCATTTTCTGTGTTGAATACTTAGGTGAGCTTCCTGCTTCGTCTTTCTGCACTTCCTCTTATTTCTGCTTTTCAACACACTTATGCAAACAGCCTTTCCTCTCCTATATGTCTTTTGTCCATATACCTGGAGCATATTTAATATTACATATTGCAGAAGTGTACGATTACGGCTTTTGGACATACAAGGTGCTGAATTTTGCAGACACATTTCTTTTTAAAAGTTCTATTTATGATTTTTGATTATAACAAATAAACATTTCAGCAAAAGAAAAGAAACAATTCAAATATCTTAAATCTTCGACTTCCCTCCCTCTCCTTCTGTGGTTCCATAAATTTGTTCTCTTTCTTTTCCCCCGCATATCCCAGTTAACTATTTATTCTTTTTTCCTCATCTATTTCCTATATGTTTTAGAAACTGCAAGTTTTTATAATTGCAGTCACATTTATGACATGATGTGAGTCCCATGCCACCTATCAGCTATGGATCAGAGGCAGGAGGGTTTTTTTTTAAAAAGTCCTCTAACGTTTATTATTTCTTTATTTAGATTTGTATGCTGCTTTTTGATATAAGCAATGCTCTAAGTGACTACAAACAGAACAAGAAAAATGGAAACCAACACATCATTATGCTGGCAAATAATCACTTCAAAACATAACACAGCAATCCAGCAAATAACTCTAATTATATGAACATAAAACAAATCCATGTGCCCTTTCGAAAGGAAGGATACAGGAATTCATTGTTAAAATCAGCCAACTTTCTGAACTAGGGCCAGGGCCTTTTCAGTACTCACCCCGACTTGGTGGAATACTCTGTCACAAGAGACTAGGGCCCTGCGGGACTTAACATATTTCTGCAGGGCCTGCAAGACAGAGCTGTTCCACCTGGCCTTTAGTTTGGACTCAGTCTGACCCTTATGTTTTCCCTCCCCTTATGGTTTTGATCCATGGGCTACTTTTAAAATGAGACTGCATTTTAAATTTTCTCTCTCTCCCCTCCCCCCCATTATATTTTTATTGTAATTTTACTGGTGTTAGCCGCCCTGAGCCCAGCTCTGGCCGGGGAGGGCGGGGTATAATAATAATAATTATTATTATTATTATTATGGGTCAGCCTCTTCAATTCCAAGGTAGCTAGAGAGGTTAACCCCATGATACGCTTTGTTCTCTGAATTAATCTGTCTTTTGTCACGCTCTCCAAAGGCGTTTGGAGATCAAGGCAGGAAACTCATTCTGTGTTCTTTATTTCCAGCGAGTGTGTTGTGTATATTTGGGGTGAACATCTTCCTGTGATAAACTCCTTGCAGGTGTGGTGCTTGCAAAAAGAGATGCCTGAGTGCGCATGCAAGGTTCAGCACCTGCGTATGCCCATTGCGGCACCTGCCTCTGTCCCTGACATTCTGGCAGCCAGCGCAAGTGGAGGGAAAGGAAGCAAAACCATTTATGGAATAAGCAACAGGTGGTGCTAGTGAGGTCGGAAATGCAAGCCCTACACCATAGCCTTGGTGTTGCTAAGGATAGGACCTTGGTTCCCAGGCTGTAGATTATCTTCTCCAAGGAGGCCCAGTTAGCCCTCCTTTTCTCTCTTGGCAAGAGGTTAAAACTATCCTCTTGAGAAGCTCGAACAGATGATCAATACAAGCGACCAAATGTGTTTGAAACCTTTGCTGCATTTTACTTCGGCTGGCGTCTGTCTCATTCCAAGAGACAGTGGAGGAGTGTGCCATCAGGGGTAAAACCAAGTCACAGTGTCTTCCGCGGCTGTAAAGACCGATACAGGAGAGACATGTTTAGTTGCAGCTGTGGCAGATGCATTTAAGATAAGAGAGTCCCTGCCGGCAGGCTTACAATTGAAAAGACATGACACGTAAGGGAGAAGAGATGGGGAGGGAAGAGGGGGCAGAGAAGCAAACTCAGGCACAGCTTCTGAAGGTTAAATAACAGCGCTTATCATAACCAGATGGATTATCAATTACTGGAAACCATAAAGGGGAGAATGCTCTTGTGCTCTGGTCCTCCTAGTGGGTTTTCTGCAGGCATTTGGTTGGCCACTCAGAGAACAGGACACTGTTACAAATCATCAGATGAGCCATCGCCAAGATCTAGCTGATCTTGGGGTGATCAAATATTTGTCCGATGGACAAATAGGGTCATTTTCAACCTCTTTAATCATAGAGTTAGAAGGGACCAAGGGTCATCTAGTCCCACCCCTTGCAATGCAGGAATCTCAGCTAAAGCATCCATGGTCAAAATGTAAAACTAAAGGACCCCTGGATGGTTAAGTCCAGTCAAAGGCGACTAAGGGGTGCAGCGCTCATCTCACTTTCAGGCCAAGGGAGCCGGCATTTGTCCACAGACAGCTTTCCGGGTCATGTGGTCAGCATGACTAAACCACTTTTGGCGCAACGGAACACTGACAGAAATCGGAGCGCACGGAAACGCTGTTTACCTTCCCACCGCAATGGTACCTACTTATCTACTTGCACTGGTGTGCTTTCGAACTGCTAGGTTGGCAGAAGCTGGGACAGTGCAACGAGAGCTCACCACCGTCAAGTGGATTCGAACTGCCAACCTTCCAATTGACAAGCCCAAGAAGCTCAGTGGTTTAGACCACAGCGCCACCCACGTCCCTTTACCTTTTACTTCCGTTGATATGGACACTATACTTCTGTTGATGCATCCTAGAATAGCATTAGCTTTTTTTTGCTGCTGCATCACACTGTTGACTCATGTTAAGCTTGTAGTCCACCAAGACCCCTGGATCCTTGTCACATGTACTGCTAGTAAGCCAGCATATGGCATTCAAACACACGAAAACACGAGGGAATGACCAAAGCACCATTTTCTCAAACCATTGGGGGGAAAGGTAAAGAAGTACTCTCCCTCCTGCACAATGTTAGGAATACATCATGCTTTGTGTATAAATTAGTATAAGAATAGTGTGGCTGTTCAGAGTCTCTTGGTGGTTGAACCCCCTCCCCCTATTTTATCAATGAGGGGAATCGTAGCTCTAAAAATGTGTCTTCTGGTGTTCAACTGTTGAAAGGCAAATGTCTCCATTCATGTAAATTCCCGTATCTTGGCATGTCACAGTTTTAGGAGCTCTTTGTTGGGGTCGTTCTAAGGTTTCCCTCTGTATCTGCAAAAGCAAGAAGCATTTTTGAGGTTGAGTCTAAAAAGCAGCTGATGGCTTCTCACTCGCACGTCAAGCGAAAGATTTCTGTACAGTAACGGGCTGCTGTAACCACCTGTGTGCCTGAATGAGATCGCTTGCAGGAGGAAGCCGGCCAAGCTTCCCAGAAGGAGATGGGGCTTTGGGGCTGGAAAACGCTCCCCCATCCCTGTGTCCAATGGACAAATAGCCTGTGAGTGAGGGTTGGTATGAAACCAGATAGAGAAGAGCGAGAGCAGATGCAGTCTGGACCAGAGAGGCAGGAATGTGGAGTATGAAACAGGCTGCTCTCCCAGTGCACCCAAAGTCAAGACTTGTGTGACGTGTTAAGCAAAATACAAACATTCTGTGCCCAGCAACAGAAACCTATGCCTTCACGATTAACATCCACAGAGTAACTTGGAATCTCATAATGTCATCTAGTTTGGCTCTCCCTGCAGCAGTTTCTCTTCCTGGTCTTTTTGTTCAGCTAAATAAAAACAACAACACACTCCCAGAAGAGCTATGTAATAGTCTACATCTCTTGATGCCAGATTTGCAGCTGTGTTATTCAGTGGGCATTTCCAGCTAGTCAGGTAGTGTCATGTAAAATGACTTCATACTAAGTATATTTATTTTTTTAATATGCTTGTGAGACTTTTTGCTGCTTGACTCACAGGCACGTCTTTTGCTTGCGAAAGCTGTTTGTCGCAGATTATACGGTACTTTATGTGAAAACAAATGTAGGATCAATTTGAAACAGGAGGCTTTGTGCGGTGGAAACGCCTTCTGGATTGCTCAAATCTGCTTTGATCTGTTATTATATATATAGATACAGATATATATAGCTTCTGGAAGCTTTTTATGCAATGCTCGAATTATTTGATGACCACCTTGTTTCTGAATGCCCCTTTGCTGAGAATTTTAATTTTTTAATCAAGATTTCCCAACGAATAGCTGAAAAAATGTTTTAAAAATAACAATCTTTGTACAATTCCAGACAAAGTCACCATATCAGGTGCAACAGAAGCAGGCACGTGCACCCTGCCAAGCTGAGACTGTTCTTCTTCTTTGGCGACCACTCTTGGCCAAGTAAGATTGTCTTCCATAAACACGGTTTTAACAATGAGTCCGTAAGTGAATGTGGAGACCAATTCTGGATCCACACGTCCTTCCACAGTGGGGACATTGGTTTCCGGGCTGGAACTGATCACGGTGTGGATTTCCCAAGCGTGCCTTCCTCTTAGCACGTTTCTCCCTTGCGTTCTGAGTTCAAG